CAGTGATTAACATTTCAGATCACTGAGCCCAAGGGTCTTCAGAGACCACATCTCAAAGGACTAATACCTTCCTTATTAAGGTCTTTTCACTGTAGTAGGGCCAGTAAGAGTACATTCTATCCTTTGGCCAATTCAGTGACCAGATTTCTGCCACAACCTGTTATTCATACATCGCAGCTTGTGACCCCCTGACAGAAGATTAAGGGGCTGCTGAAGGAGACCTATGTGTTTATCTAGTATTCCCCAGATTTAGAAGAAACTCAAGCCACATTAGGCTCAATGGAGCCTTCCTACGGACACCCAAGGTAAGGACAAATGTTCTTTGGCTTTCATGCTACCAGAGCCCCACAGGGATCAAGGACAATTTTCCTGCCTCAGATGTATAATGTAGGAATGTGAAGAAACATTAAGCTAGCTTCATGAACTCAAATGAATTAGGTAGAATTTTAGAGCATAAAGTAATAGAACTGAAAGGGACCTTAGATCATAGAACATGCTGAAGAATGTTAGAACTGGAACCTTAGAATGCAGAACACAGAATGTTAGATTTGAGAGACCCTAGGACATAGGCCATAGAATATCAAAGTGAGATAACTTAGAGTGAAGGATAGCAGAGCTGGGCAAAAGCTTAGAGTCATCTTCTCTCATTAAGCTTCTTCCATTACACTGTCCCTCCTCCCCCGTCCCCCGCCCCTGTCGCAATTAAAGATTTTGACTTAGACTTTACTTTTCTTCATCTCATAGCCTCTTGATGTAATCCTCCCTTCTCACCTCCTCTACTTTTATATCTGATAAAGAGATAGTCCTCGTGCTTGTAAAGGTCAATGCCTGTACTCCTGTACCGTCCCCTCCTACCTTTTTAAGCAGACTGTGTAATTATAATCTCTTTCACTTTCTAATCTTCCATCTCTCATTACTCAGTGACTCTCCTGATACCTACAAACATACACACACACACACTCACACACACTTCTTGACCTCATTAAAACAAAACAAAACTCCTCATTCAATTCTAGCATCCCAGTGGCCATCATCTCTTTCTTCTCTTTTCTTTTTTCAGCCTAACTCCTTGAAGAAGCTGTCTACACTTGATGCAGCCACTTCATCTCCTCTCATTTTCTTTTCAACCCTCTACAATCTGACTTTTCATTTTTTCATTCAACTGCAATGTCTCTTTCCAAAGCCAAAGCTGATGGCTTTTTGCAATCTTTATCCTTCTCAATCTCTCTGCAGTAGTGTATGCTTCTGGCCACTCTTTCCTCCATGGGTTTTTGTGACATTAGTTCCCTTGAGTTTTTCTTCTCTCTATCTCATTGACTTTCAGTCATCTTTGCTGGTTTTTCATCCATAACATGTCCTCTAACTGCTGTCAGATCTCATGATTCTGTCCTGGACTTTCTCCTCTTCTTTTATTTTCTTTTCCTAGTCTCATTGCCCTCATCTCACAGGGGCTTATCATCTCTGTGTTAATGATACCCAGCTCTTTTTCTCTATATACATAGCTCTATTCTCTTTCCAGTTCTTCATTACCCAATACTTGGAAATTTTGAACTAGATCTTTTATAGATATCTTATCTCCAAAACTTACTTTAATATCCCCTTCCCCCCAAATCATTCTTTCTCCTAAATTCTTCTGTCAAGGGCAATATCATTCTCCTAGTCACTAAGTTTAAAAATCCTGATGTCACCCTTAACTCCTCATTTTCCCTCATTCTACACAACTACTCAGTTACCAAATCCTTTTAATTCTACCTCTAAAACATCTTTCCTAGATGCTCCCTTGTATCTATTCACAAAATCACTTTAGTTCAGGTCTTCACTTTTCACTTGGACTATTGTAATTTTCTTTTAGTTGTTTTCCATGTTGCAAATCTCTCCCATTTCCAATTCATCTTTTGCAGAAATGCCTAACTGATTTTCCTGAAACACAATTTTATAAGTCACTCCTCTACTCAGCAAACTTCAGTGACTCTCTGTTACTTGAAGGATGTTTGTCATTTGAAGTCCTTTACAATCTGATTCCAACCTTCCTTTCCAGCCATATTGCACATTACTCCCCCATGTATTCTACAGTTTGGCCAAATTGACCTTCCTCTTCTATACAATGCTCCTTCTCTCATCTCCATGCCTTTGCACTAGCTAACTCTTCCCCTATCCTCATGAATGGAATGTATTTCCTCTTCATCTCCATCTCTTGAAATTTTTAATTTCCCTCAAGGCCCAATTCTAATGTCACCTTCTCAATGACACCTTGCCTAAATTTCACTCCTCACTCCCATTCCCAGCACAGCTCTTAAGGTCTTCCTCCGAACTCAGTTTGTATTTACTTTGAATCTAGCTCTCTACATTTCTCTCTGTCTCTGTCTCTTTCTCTCCTCTCTGTTCTTTCTCTCCATCCGCTCTCTCCTTTGTTGCTTCCTTCTCTCTCTCTTTTTCTTCTCTCTTCTCTTTCACTCTCTTTCTCTTCCCCCCTCCCCTCTCCCATATTTCATATAACAAAATACATACATATAATTCCTACTTGTGAAGTTTACTAACAGTGACATAAATAATTTCACATCTCTGAGCCTGTAACATGCATTTCCTGAGAGCATGGACAGTCTCACTTTTGTCTTTGTATCCTCAGCTCACAGCACAGTACTTGACACGTAACTGATTGATGTGGAAACAAGTTTTCTTTATACTAGTCATTCTCCTCCAATCTAGACCACATTTATAGCTGTGAGCAAGGCCTTGAATCAAAGGTCAATTCTCTTCTCTCAGTCTACATGACTGAATATAACATGACAAAAATAACCAATCAACGCAATGAGCCAGTGAAAATAAATTAAAATGGTTAATTTGTGATGTGTAGATCAAATAGCTTTTTGGATGAAAGGGGTTTTTTGTGTCTTGTTTTTGCTTCTCCATTTTCAGCTGGTCATTGGGGCATCATATGGATGTAGAATGTATATGAAAGAAAATATAAATCAGAGAAGATGATGGAGAATATGTAAAGTTGAAAGATAAAAGTCAAATCTGCACTGGTAATATTAACAGACATGATTGGCTGTATCTTATTCAATAAGTAGAAGCCACCAATTACATGAGAGATTTTACTTGTCACCAGACTGGCTACTGTAGGGGATTCATTCATTTAACAAGTGTTTATTAAACATCTATGGTGTACCTAGCCTTAACTATGATATACGCTAAGGATATAAAGCAATATTTGACCTTAAGATATTTTTTTTCTGATTAAAAAAAAACGTCATCACAACCAACAAAGATGATGCCTTTATATAGAAGTTTAGTGTTTGCAAAGCCCTTTACTTGCATTTTGTCAATTGAACCTTGTAAGGACTCTTGGTTATAGATACTGTTATTACCCCTGTTTTAAAGATAAAGAACTGGGACTTAAAGAGTTGAAAGAATTTGCCCAGGAACCAGCCTAGATCCACCTCAAGAAGTTCCTCACAGCCATACACTGTTGAGCAAAGACTTCTCTATTCATAAATTTTCAGTAATTCCCCCCTTACCCTAAACCTTCCTATTGTACTCTTCTATAGGATCAAAACTCTGAACACTGCATCCCATAACCAAACACTGAAATCTTAAAAAAAAAAATCATAGTTAAGGACAAACTAATGGCTGCATTGATTTATCATCTCTTTTTAGGACAGTGTCTTGGATATCAGTGATATTTTAAAGAGTCCCTTATTGGATTGATTAATTCTTTCATTGAGCTGCAAACAGAATAACGTGTAAGTCGATTTGACTAAAATCTAGGTAGTCTGATCAAGCCAATATTAATTCCACTTAATCCCACCTGAAACTGCCTTAAGATCAATAGATTTAAGTTAAATCTTTTTTTTATGAGCAATGGACTTTATTTAATCATTTCTGCATTTACAGCTGGAACTCTGGGAATCCAAAATTAACATCTTTGCCTGTCAGCTTCTTATAAACGCCAGAAAATGTTTTTACCTTGCGCTCCACATTGTTCTACTGTGCTTTATCCAAATGGACCTTTATGAGTCTGCTGCCATCTAGTTTTACACGGATTCTCTTGCCAACAATTTCACTTGGAAAGACAAGGTCTTCAAGGATTGCATCATGCACAGCAGTCAGAGTATGGCTCCTGGGACACTTTTGCTTACTTTTTGTAAATTGGCTTGTACTTGGCTTAGGAAGAAGTCTTCTCTAAGCTATAAGGACCACATGTTTGCCACTGAATTTTTTCTCCAATTCACAAACTAGTCGCACTTGGATCTTCTGAAAATATTTTAGCTGAGGAACTGGAACAAAAATGATGATAGCTTTTCTGCCACCACCAACTTCAATTTCCTTAGCTGCTGTGATATTCAGCTCTCTTAATTGAGTCTTTAAGTTAGAGTTCATCTCCAACTCCAATAGAGCCTGTGAAATGCCAGACTCAAACTTGTCTGGCTTCTCGCCATTGGGCTTCACAGTCTTGGCACTGGAGCTGAACGTGGCACTACCTCGACGAGCGCCAGCCTAGGAAGAGGATTTAAGTTAAATCTTTAAAAATACAAAAGAAAACAGCCCATAAAATGTTGGCTTTTTTATACATAATAGTGTCAACGATGAAACTCATCTAGCAATGCATCTTTCCTCTTTTGAGACTAGAATAAATGGATACCATTCTTATTTATCTAGGATGACTTGATGCCGTCTCCTGCTTGGATGAGAAGGGATAGACTAGTTAACTTACTAGTTGCAGGGTCTAAATTGAGAAGAGACATTTGAGCTATCCAGGCAAAGCCCCTACATTTTACAGAGACAGAGGCTGATGCCCCCAAAGCTGAAGGGATTTGCCCTAATATCACACCAGTGGAAAATGATAGAACCAGTATTCAAACCAGCTTCTCAAACTCCCAGTTCAATACACTTTGTAATTCTCCATGCTGGCTACCCTCTCCCCATTTCTCCTTCTCTGGTTGAGTTATGTCTGTTTCTCACTTTCTTTATTCAGCAGGAGACATCCTTCATCTGAGGCAATGGTTTGGAGTAATCACAGCACAGCGACCCATTTCATTCTTCTGGGATTCACTGACCATTCAGAGCTGCAACCCATTCTCTTTGGGGTCTTCTTCTTGATCTATGTGATCAGTGTGGTGGGAAACCTGGGGATGATCCTGTTGATTGGACTTGATGCACAACTTCACACCCCAATGTACTTTTTTCTGGGCAACTTGTCCTTTGTTGACTTCTGTTACTCCTCTGTCATTACACCCAACATGCTCATCAACTTCTGGGTGGAGATGCCAGTCATTTCATGGAGTGGTTGTGCCACTCAATTTTTCTTCTTTGGTTCTTTTGCTGGTATTGAGGGCTTTCTGCTAGCCGTGATGGCATATGATCGCTACGTGGCAATCTGCATCCCACTACTGTATACCACCACCATGTCACAGAGGTTCAACATTATACTGGTGTCAGGCACCTATCTGGCAGGTTTTGCCAATGCAGCAATACACACAGCTTTAACCTTTAAGCTCTCCTTCTGCCACTCTAATGTCATCAACCATTTCTTCTGTGATACTCCACCCCTCTTGAAACTCTCCTGCTCAGATACCCATGTGAATGAGCTAATCATTTTTGCTTTTGCCAGTTTTAATGAGTTGAGCTGCCTCTTGACTATCCTCATTTCTTATCTATATGTCATTGTTGCCATTGTGAGGATACGTTCAGCTGAGGGAAGATACAAAGCCTTCTCCACTTGTGCCTCCCACCTGATGGCTGTCACCATTTTCTTTGGGACAATTATCTTCATGTATCTGCGTCCCAGCTCTAGCTATTCAATGGACCAAGATAAAGTGGTGTCTGTGTTCTACACAGTGGTGATCCCCATGCTGAACCCTCTGATCTATAGTCTGAGAAACAAAGAGGTGAAAGCTTCCTTTAGGAAAGTCATCGTACAAATATCTTCATCCTCTTTTTAGTGTGGTTTTAGAATAATTGCATTTTAGATTTGGAAAGGATGAGATAGTGGAACTTAAAACTAGAACTTAGCATGCCAGAGGTAGGGCAGGGCATACAACACAGAATATCAAAACTGGAATGGAAATTGGAACTGAGAACATAGAATTCCAGGGGCATCTAGGTTTCATAGTGGATTGAGTATTGTACCTGGAGTCAGAAAGATCCAAGTTCAAATTTTCCCTCAGATTCTAACAAGCTGTGTGATGGTGGGCATGTTACATAACCTCTGTGGGCTTAATTTCCTTATCCGTGAAAATGGAGGTAATAATAGTACACACTTCATAGAATTGTGACAAGTATCAAATGAGATAACATACATAAAGGGTTTTACAAACCTTAAAGCATCAACAAAAATATTAGTTTATTTTTTAATTACTGAGCTAGAAATGATTTGAGAACATAGAACTTAGAATTCAGACCACAAAAGAACTGTAGAACCTGGAGTAAAAATGATTTGGATTGAAGGAGAATTTAGATTGAAAAGGAAATAATGTGAGCTCTGGAATGAGCCATAGAAAATGTATGGCAGAACAATGAGGCATGGTTGAATGGGACTCAGTGGAAGAGACTGTTGGATTAGAAATCTCCTGTCATTCTACTGGCTGTAAGACTTCAGTTTTTGGTAATCTAGTACACCAAGGTTTCAAAGACATTCATAGTGCAGTGAAAAGAACTCAGGACTAAAAAGATGGGAAATATCAGTTTTTATCCATTTTCCAGCTAGGTAACATTGGGCCAGTCACATTTTTGTATGAATTTTCAGAAAATCATTGTCACAATTTAGATTTTGTTTCTTCTATCTTTTGCAAATTATAATTTTATACCTTTCATTGCGTGACTTTTTTCAATACTTCATGGATCTATGAATATGTCAGTATGGACACTCATGCCAGCAAAACAGATATCATCTCTGAAAGAGATCTTAGCACTGTTGTACATATTCCAACCCAATGTAGTTAAACCTTCTACAACATATGACAGATCATCTTCCACTCTGCCCTTGGTCTAACATAAACCCTGGGAAGCTGAGTGTGTGCAGAAATTATACTACTTTCAAAGGTACAAAATTCTCTACTTGCTAAGATGCTAACACCAAAACATTCACTTTGGGGTTAAATACCCATTGAATCGCATTCAGGAAAAGGTCATGTTGGGAAATTTATGAATGATTAAAATAAATGCATTTATTATATGTCTACTATGTTTCAAGAACTTCACTCATGAGTAAGAATCACTAGTGGACTAATCTTTACACCGAGGGTCACAGCTTTCAGGTTAGTAAAGAATCTTCAAGGGTTCCCTTAGCTAGAAAAATCATCTCCTGTAGAGAAAAAAAAAATCTCTGAAAATAATATCTGGCATTTAAATATTATCTCATGAGATATTCACAAGAACCCTGAAGGTAGGTAATATTAATATCCCCATTTCAGAGAAGAGGAAACCAAGGCCAAGAGAAATTAAGTGATATGGACAGCTAGTAAATATTTGAGGCAAGATTTTTATTTAGGTCTTCCTAACTCTAAGTCCAACACTATAGCTACTATAACCACTTAACTGGTTGAACTTATTCAGACTTGGATACTTGAAGTTTTTTCTGCTTGGAAGGGGATGGCAGAATTCATCCTGGAGACAAAATCTTTGAGAAGAAAAGATCAATTCCAAGGCACAATGGGACATAAGAATAGGACCACAGTGGGCCACTTTAATTCTTTTATAGACGCCAAGTGATTTTGTACCTATATATACTTAATTGCTTGTTTGTTTTTCTCTTTGGGTGGAGGTGTCAACATAGATAATTCCCCACTCCCCTTAAAATAAGTGATAACAGGCTATTTCCTAATACATTTATCAGGAAACAATCTATTTCAATTGTTCACTAGTTAGGAATAAGGTCTAGTACTTCTCTAGGTATGAAAAAAATCTGGATTAGCTGAGGAACTTGGTCACTCACTTTGATGACTATATAAAATCCTCTAGCTAGTTAGAATCAGACACTCAGGTGTCTGACGACAGAGAGGAGAGAGAGGCATTGCTAAGAAGGAACTGCTTGTGATGCTGATATAGTACAGGGGGACAAAGTACTTTGATCTTGAGCTGGAAGTTTCTTAATATTTTAGGAAGAGAGGAAACCACACAAGATCATGACTGTAAGGCATGAATTTCTTCCTATAATAAGAGTTTTAAGTATCTCTGAAAAGGAGGAGAGTGAGAGCACTTGGAGAGAAAAGAGGTGATTTTTCCCTCCTCTAAATCCTGGGTAGACCATGGTGGCCAGGGCAGAAACATTTGCATGTCAACCTAATTAAGAGTAAAAGCCTCCAAGAGTAGGGATGCAAGAACATTACCAGAATTCTGACATTACTAGGATTATTCAGAAGAAGTGGCAGGTAAAAGGTGATATCACATTTGATGTTAACATTTTTTTTTTCTGTCAAAAGTTAGCCTGGAGTCATAGTAAGGACTGACAGTTTTTCAGCATCTGCTTTTTTCCCCAAGCACTTCAGTCACCTTAATGACTGCTTGTAATTAAAAAAAAAGAAAGAAAAAGACCAACAATGATGCAAATGGAAAGAACATCCATATTAATAGAAATGAAGTGAATGGTGGTTCATTATGAAAACCAAGCTTGGCCCTGGAGAAGAACTGAGCAAATGCATCACTATCCCTTCACTTGTACAATGTAGGACTCTAAGTGGGGAAATTTGTGTATGTGGTTAGAGTCAGCTGATGTTTTGTTAGCTTTGCTGAACTGCTTTCATTTTTATTTTTCACTTTTATGTTTCTTGGATGGAAGTAAAAGAAAATACATTTAATCAGATTTAAAATATTTTTAAAAATATGTTAAAATCAATATTTTATTGTTAATTTAAAATAAAAATTGTTGATTGACATTGTTTAAAATTAAATTATTTAAAGATCTTGTTAAAATGAGTTTATAAAATTAAAAAAATGATAAAATAATTTGCTTGTGAAATAAAATACATTGTTATATCTCCTCAGCAAGACTAGATCCAGCTACCTCAGTGAACCAACAAACAATGATTTATCACTTGCTATGTAACTGGCACCATGCCAGCACTGAGATTACAAAGGAAGGTCAAGACTGGAATTAGGACTGAGGATTGTGGAGAATCCAGGTCCATCAAATTTTTTTAGATGCCCTTGAGATGTTACATGATTTAAGGGTTTTATCCCCAAGGCATGCAACTGGGGAATACTTCAGAGAATATACACAGGAAAGCCAAAATGATATAAATGTCTCTTCTTCTTTATCATAGCAGCCTAAAATCTTAGCTCTGAAAGAGATCTTAGCAGTGTTGTACATATTCCAACCCAATGTAGTTAAACCTTCTAGAACCTATGACAGATGGTCTTCCAGCCTCCACCCTTGGTCTGACACAAACCCTGGGAAGTTGGGTGTTTCTAAGGTAGGAAATTTTCTACTTGCTAAAATGCTAACACCAAAACATTCAGTTTGGGGTTAAATACCCATTGCATCACATTCAGGAAAAGGTATGGATGCTGAGAAATTTATGAATGATTAAAATAAATACATTTATTAAATGCCTACTATGTTTCAACAACTGCACTAATAAGTAAGAATCACTAGTGGATTCATCTTTTCACCTATGGTCACAGCTTCACTAACATTTTATTAACTTCATATTCAATTAATCCTACCTTTTCATAGCCTTGAGACTGTGCTCAGCTATATTCTCCACTATAGCTCTAAACCATAATTAAATGAGAATACCCTAGTCTAATGTCTGGCCTTGGACAGCTGCAGATTCCATATTCGCCAAATCCTCCATGTAGCCTGGTTTTAATAAATAGTTCAATTTAACTCAAAGGAACACAAGAGAAACAAAGAATCATAGAGTTGGAAAGACCCTGAGGATAGACAATAACATAGGGGGAAAAAAAAAAACCTTGAAAAATTAACTATCCAGAGCAGTAAGGGACTTTTGAACATAGACTGCTAAAGCTAGAAGTGACTTCTTAAAGACATCTGATCCATCAGCATCATTTCAAACATGGAATGAAACAATCATTTGTTACTCAATGGTACAGAAAGAATGGGAATGACTTCTTTATTCTGCATTAAAAAATTAACTGGAGTTCAACCCAGACAGTACTAATCCAGAATACTGTTTTGACAAGCCCATATTATAACTTTCATTTAAAACATAATGTCTATTTGCATTCCTTTAAAAATTTACACAAAGAAGAAAAGAAAGGAGAGAAAGAAGGAAAAAAAAGAAAGAAGGAAATGAGGAAAAGAGAAAAGGAGAAAAAAGAAAGAGAAATACAGGAAGACTGATATAGACAAAAAGAAAGAAGGAAGCTAAGCAGCTATCTACAAATATTGATGGTGATGGGTAAAGAAAGCTAAAATGATAAAAGCATTAGCTTTCATATTAATTAAATCCATTCTCACATGCATGCTAATGAATACATCTTTCAACTGGCAGGACATGAGAAAATGTCTCCCACAAACCACACCAAGGTGTCTGAATTCATCCTCCTGGGACTAACTGAGGATCCAGAACTGCAGAAGATCCTTTTCATGATCTTCCTAGTCATCTATATCATCACCCTGCTGGGGAATCTGGGCATGATCACGCTGATTCTTAACAGTCCACGGCTCCACACTCCCATGTACTTTTTCCTCAGTCATCTCTCCTTTGTCGATTTATGTTACTCCTCCAACATCACCCCTCAGATGTTAGTGCATTTTCTCTCTGAGAGAAAGGCCATCTCCTATGCAGGATGCTTCACCCAGTGTCTTTCCTTCATTGCCCTGGTGATTACTGAGTTTTATATCCTTGCCTCAATGGCCATTGATCGCTATGTGGCCATCAGCAGCCCTCTGCATTACAGCACCAAAATGAACCAGTGTGTCTGCCTCTGCCTGGTCATTGTTCCCTACGTCTATGGCTTCCTGAATGGCCTTTCCCAGGCCCTGCTGACCTTCCACTTAACCTTCTGTGGACCCAATGAAATTAACCACTTCTACTGTGCTGACCCTCCTCTCCTGTTGTTGGCCTGCTCTGATGTCTATGTCAAAAAAATGGCCATGTTCATAGTGGCTGGCTTTACTCTTTCAAGCTCTTTCTTTACAATTCTTTGTTCTTATGTTTTTATTTTTGCTGCCATTTTGAGAATTCGATCAGCTGAAGGAAGACATAAGGCCTTCTCCACTTGTGCATCTCATCTAATAGCCGTCACTCTGTTTTACGGGACCCTCTTCTGCATGTACTTACGACCCCCTTCTCAGCAGTCTGTGGAGGAATCCAAAACGATTGCTGTCTTTTATACCTTTGTGAGTCCCATGCTAAATCCCTTGATCTATAGCCTCAGAAATAAGGATGTCATCGAGGCCATGATGAAAGTACTCCGGAGAAAACCTTTCATGAAAATGGCAGGATGTATTACATAGACACATTGGATCACAGAATCATGAATTGTAAGGAAGTTTAAATAAAAATAGAACACATGAGTCTTATCTTTCCATTTAATAAACTGGGAATTATGGTTCAAATTCTGAAAGTCTCTTCCCTACGGCTATAAAATAAGTAGTAGTAGTAAGTGGCCAAGCTAAGGTTCTTATCCAATTCACTTGATTTAAAACAGTCTTCCATTACGTTGTGATTTCCATCTTGTCCTTATAATCCAGATAAAAGTAACAATGTGAAGCCTGCCCTACCCCCTGGCATATAACACAATACAAAGGCGTATAATATATCCTTAGGAAAAAGTTTATTGTTGGTGGTGTTGACAGTGATGACAGTTATGATGATAATGTGATAATTAATGTTGACAATGCTAATGATTGCTGCTGCTGCTGTTTCTTCTGGTAATTCTCTTCATAAGAAGCTCCATGACATAGTGGATAGAGTGCTTTCTCAGACATGGGAAGGGGTGAGTTCAAGTTCTATCTCTGAAATATACTGGCTGTGTCTTCTTAGATGACTCGTTTAACACATTAATGGTCTATGCAGATCTTTAATCTTATAATTGGCAGACTGTGCATTGGTAGAAGAAATTTCCTCAATGACAGTTCCCTATTTGAATGAAATCACAGTTCCAATCCCTGTCTTTATCCCCTAGATATCCACATCCATTTCACTAAAATTTCCTAATTGTTCATAACTCGGGGAGGCAATTTCAAAGCAATAAAAAAAAAAATCACACACATACATGCACATATTCATTTCCTTACAATAATCCTGAGATATAAATATTTTATTATTTCCAATTTACAGATGAGAAAATTGAGGCAGGCAGAGATTAAGTGACTTGTCCAGGGTCACACAGGTGGTAAGTGTCTGTAATAGGATTTGACCT